ATCATCTAGTTCTAAGCTATGGTACTTTCTTTGCAGAAGCTGCAAAAGAGGAAGAAGTGGAAGATGATGATGATATGGATGATTTTCAAACTGATGATGAAGATGAGGATGGAAATGGTTCTGACAAGGAAATGGGTATTGATGCTGAGGATGGGGATGAAGCAGACAGTAGTAAACTTAGAAAGTTGGCTGAACAGGTTTGTGGATATGAAAACTTGATTAATTTAATTAGATCAATAATTATTGCTTTGCAAACCAAAATGGAAGTGGTTTACTGTTTATTGGGTAAGAAATTTAATTTTAGATGTTATTCAAGTGTAGAGAACAACTCAGCATCAAAAATAAAGTATTTCATGACTCTTTTACAACTTGAAATATAAAATGTTATTTTTTTTTGTCATATTTAGTATATTAATTTTTATAAATTTTGTTTTATTCGTATATATTATTGGTTAGTTTTAAAAGTAGATATATTTCAGTAACTTACATTACTTCAACCGCTGTCAGCTTCATTCTACAGCTGTTGGTAATTTGTAGTGGTGGACGATTGGGTTTGATCCCCTTCCCACCACTTTTTGCATAAAATGATAATCAGACCGTAGGAGTATTCACCACTGGCTTCAGTACCTGGTTTTTGACAATAAACATTTGTTTCTTTGACTTATTGGCTGGTTCAATACTACGATCTAATTGGTTCTGTTTGTGTATTTTTAGATGAAAGTTTTTATATTTCTCTCGAAAAAAAAAGTGTACTTTCGTCTTCAACATTATACATTCTTCATCTATTTATTTATTTATTTTTTATTGTATCTTTTTTGAAATTTATACTCTTATTCTCCTTTACAATGTCACCGGGAAGACAAAGACGTTTAGGCCCAATGATGAGGATGATGACGACTCAGATGATGACTTTAGTGATGATGAAGAGTTGCACTCCCCAATTGACGAGGTGGATCCTTTTGTTTTCTTTGTGGATACAATGAAAGGTATGTTGATGCTGCTCCCTTGAAATAATGTTAGAAGTTTCAATGTTTGATCAATGCCTTTATTGTTTTCTGACATACCCGGCTTTCAAAATAATTTTTCTTGTAGTGATGCAATCATCAGATCCGATGAGGTTTCAGAACCTTACCCAGACACTTGAGTTCTCTTATCAAGCTCTTGCAAATGGTGTTGCCCAGCATGCTGAGGTGAGGAGAGGAGAGATTGAAAAGGAAAAGTTAGATAAGTCATCGGCTATCGTGGATTCTTAAACTTTTGCATGTACATACTTGGTTCTTGTGTTTGCTTGTACGGAGCCATTCTTGGTAAGAAACAGATGGTTGCGTATTTATGTGAGGCATTTGTTGGCTCGTGGTCCTAATTGGTCTTGTGAGCTTTGAAGAGTCTGCAGTTTTGAAATGGCGAGTTAAGTGCACTGAAGTTTCCGTTGACTTGAGAGAGGATGTGGATTCAGGAGTTTGGTGCTTCGGGCTATCCTTTGGATGAGAGTGGCTATTTTCATCGTTTGTGTCCAAGTCTCCATGTTTTGTTTGAGTTGACGGCCTTGCTCTTTCCAATATATGGAAACCTTTGTTCGTTCTTCAGTTAGTGCTGCAATGGCTGTTTGTATGCGATTTCTGTGTCGATTCTCTCCTGTCACGTAGACGGGTCATCTAGGGCTGCCAATGTTTGTGTTGGTAATTTTTGGTGAGGAATAGTTGACAATTCTTTGTATTTTAACTTAGTTTTTGGTTATAAAATTTTGAGTCCATGGTATCATTCATTGCGTATTCACGAAGGGATCAGTTTTGGGTTTGGGCAAAGCGATTTTCTACTGTCTTGCTGCACGTTGTATAACAGTTATGTCCATTCTTTATCAATATTTATATATATATTTTTTGTGTATAATGGTTAATGACTATATTGAATTTTGAATCTATTTTATTTTTAATCAATTATTCTAACTCTGCCACTAGAGATCTAGTGACTAATATTTATGTTATATATACTAGTAGTGTCCAGATATTTCATGTCTTTGTTAAAAATAAGATATAAAATAAAATAAATTTATAAATTGGTTCAATTAGTGTTGTGATTTGTTAATGAGTTTCAAGTTTAAGTACAAGTCTTGAATTTGATAAAATTTTTTTTTTAATATTATAATAATATAATGATTTATCAAATGGGAAGGCTAAGATGATTATCCAAAGGAATGTCTCTTTTATATAAAGTGTATTCTTTTATATATTAATATAGATAAAAGAATTGAAGGTAATTGGTAAAAACTTGAACAACATTATCGTGACTTCTAGTGATCATACATCTAATATTTTTTAGTGAATCGTGAATTATTGCAGATATTAAAAATAAATTATTTTATTTTTCTTTATTAGTTAATTAGTGTAGATAAAGAATGATACTCTTAATGACTATTGAGCATGAAATTAATGATATCTTGAAGATTTTTAGACTAAATATTAATCATTTTTAGTTATTAGTAAAAGTTTTGTAGTGTTTAGTTTAATTTATAATATTTACCTATAAAAAAACAAATCTTATATTTACCGTATAATATTTACCTATAAAAATAAATATTATATACAATTATATATTTATATTATATAAAATGAAATTAATTTATTATAATCTTATAATGATTTAAAGTAATATTAAAATGACATTTAATTTAAATTATGAAGACAATAATATAATAATAATAATTTTGTAAGGATAATAAAGTTTACTAAAATTTTAAATAAAATAGGATTTACTTTAAATTTAAATATTATAACACATTTATAACAACAATTTAATTTTGGTAGAGGTGATATTTTATCAGCTTTTTACTAACGATTAAATTAGTATGATAAATTAATAAAATGATCAATTTAGTCTAATAGAGATATTTCATAATACTAAACTATTTTTCAATCATAGCTTAAGTTTTTTTCCTTAAAAAAATATTAATCTTTATTCTCCAACTAATAACTTTATATTGATTTAGCTTGATCCTAAATTAAAATATATTTTTTATAAAATAATATTTATCAAAGAGTTTTTGAGTTAGAAGAGACACAAATGAGTTTAAGATTTAGAGTTCAGATAAGTCACAGATGAATTTAAATTTAAGGATTCAGATGAGTCACGTATATAACATTTGTAATGAATCTTCAAGTCAAATGAGTCACAGATGAGTTTAAGATTTAGGGTTTCAACAAGTCATAAGTGAGTTTAGGGTTTAGGGTTTAAATGTCTCACAGGTGTAGTATGTGTGATGAATCCTTAAGTCAAGTGAATCATTGGTAAATTTAGAATTTAGAGTTCAGATCAGTCATAAACTTATAAGGTTCAGATGAGTTTTGAAAATAGAGTTCAGATGAGTCAAATTTGAGTTTTGGAATTAGGATTCAGATAAGTCACAGGTGAGTTTTGGAATTAGGATTCAAATAAGTCACAAGTGAGTTTTAGAATTAGGATTCAGATAAATCACATATGAGTTTTGAAATTAAGATTCAAATAAGTCAGAGGTGAGTTAATATATTGTTGGTGTAAGATGTAATCAATACCACTAAATAGTTTTTTCTAGAAAATCATTTTACTTGTTTTTCTTTTAAAATTAGTCTTATCTCTGACATTAAAACAAACTGTATAAACAATAAATCTTCAGGTTAAATATTTCACAGATGAGTCAATATTGTATTACTATTAGGTATAATCAACAATATAAATTATACTAGCTACTGAAATAATATATTAAGTAAAAATAATATCAAAATTCTATTGAAAGTTAAATGGTCATATTTACATTTATTAAAAATTGAATAGTCAAAATTAGTCAACGATTTTAATAAGAAAGAAAAGAATTTCTTAATTTATATTTACATTTTACTTTCAAAATTTTTCAGTTGAGGAAAGGGAACATAAAATACTAGAAACACTTTTTATGTTACAAATATGTTTTTTACTATTAATTTAACATAACACATGCTAATGTTTAAATATAAAACGACGTTGGAAGTTGGAACAAGTCTTTTAAGGTTTAGTTGCACACCTCCTTTTCTTTCTCTTATTTTTACCTAAGATTAGTTTGTGTTTTGTTGTGTTATAAGACCTAAAAAAAAATTTATTTTATTTTCTTTCACTTTCTCCTTTTTGTATTGCAGTCTTCTTTGTTTCAATTTTTTTTTTCTTCAGTAATGCATTTAACTCTTTATTTTCTTTTAAATTAATTGTATCTATGATCTTAAAAAAATAAAATTTATTATGAAACTTCCTATTAAATGATTCATGACTGAATTAATATATTATTTCTGTAAAATATAATCAATGGTATAAATTATACTAGTTATTGAAATAAAATGTTAATTAATTAATTTATTAAAAATTAATCAATCATTTTTACCATTAAATTGAATATGATCTATGATATTTTACCCTTGATAAAAAATAAATAGTTAAAATCCTGCACTTAAAATTTTAGGAGAGGATAAGTAAAAAAATAATCATATAAAGCAATGGACATGATGAGTTTAAATCGCTTATATATATATATATAGATTTTAATGTATTTATATATGATAAATATTATATATATATACTTGTATATATATATATAATTATATTTAGTTAATATTTAAAAATACTTATGAGTAATTTAAAATAATTTAAAAATTAAAATTGAAAAAATAAAAAAATAACAATTCCTATACATTTCTCTATAGATCATTTGTTATATTACTCAATATAACATACTTAATTAAAAGAAATACTAGCAACACTTTTTTATTTGAGTAATACTTTCATGAATATTAATTATAAATTATAAATATTAATAAATTTTATTAATATATTAAGATATGAATTTTTAATTTAACGGTTGAATTTATAAAATTTATATTTAATATAAAGTTATTGAGCAGTGTAACATTTAGTAAAAATTACACTAATATTATTATAATCTCATATATATATATATATTATTGTTTTTTTTTTAATTTATTTAAAAATGAAGCAGCAGCGTTTACGGTCGGAAGTTTGGGCGCGCATGAGAGAGAGAGAGGAAGGGTTTGCATTTGATTACTGTTGAGAAGTGCGAAATGGATGTCGACGCTGATGACATCTTCAGAGACGACGAAGATGATCCTGACGCTCAACACTCTCTACTGGTAACTGCTAGGTGCCGCTAACCATTTTTTTTTATAATTTTTTTCCCCTTGTTTACGAAATCCACTTTTTCAGGAAGATGAGTCAAGCAAAGAATACGTGGTTTACCTCGTCGATGCTTCTCCTAAGATGTTCAACACTACTTGTCCTGCTGCGGTTAGTTTTCTTCTTCATTCATGCATTGATTGATTGATTGATTTTTCACTCTCACTGTCAATGCCTCTCGCAGGAACAAGACCAAAACGATGAAACTCATTTCCACATTGCCATCTCTTGTATTTCTCACACACTCAAGTCTCAGATCATTAACAGATCCTACGACCAAGTTGCCATATGCTTCTTTAACACTGTAAGTGTTAGCAGAAGCCCAGGTTTCAGACTTTCAGTCTCTTTCGTAATTCTTATGTCATTTACTTTATCTTTGCAGAGGGAGAAGAAGAATTTACAAGACTTAAACGGTGTTTATGTATTTAATGTTGCTGAAAGAGAGTTTCTAGACAGGCCAACAGCAAGGCTCATCAAAGAATTTGATCATTTGGAGGGTAAGTTTTTGGGGCTTTCCACAGTGCTGAGTACAGAGAATCATTTTCATGGACCTTATTTAACCTAAAATATATTGTTTTTGTGATGCAAACTATCCTTTTTTTTAAGTCTTGGGAGTTGGGACCTCTGATGCTGCCGAGTGCTGTTTTTATTTTTGAAAGCTCTAAATTAGGGAGAGGATGTAATTAGGAAGCTGTAACTTTTTTAGTTAAGAAAATTAGGGAGAGGATGTAAAAGTAGAAGTAAAGATCATTATTTGATTGGTTGAAAGTCTGTAAAGCAGTGAATGTTCTGATAAACTCTATACCTATGTTTATATTGATTCTATGTCTACTAGTAACACATAAGTCAACGCACATGTACTACTTTATGAACTTATAAACTTTGTGTAATGCTGTTGTAAGTTCATGAACTGCTATTTTCCATATTTTCCCTATTATTTGGAGAACTATACTTAATAAGATTAATATTTTCTCTATTATAACTCTGAGGTTTGTGGTTGTTTGCTCTCGATATTCTCTAGAATCGTTTTCAAAAAGCATTGGAAGCCAGCATGGTGTTGTGTCTGGGACTCAAGAAAATTCTCTCTACAATGCTATCTGGGCGGCTCAGGCACTTCTTCGTAAAGGGTAATATATGCCATGGAAGGTTAAGAAACACACATTATTTACAGTCATATATACATGATTATTGGTTAATGATAATGGGTAACATTTATACCAGGTCAGCAAAGACAGTTGACAAACGCATACTTTTGTTCACAAATGAAGATGATCCTTTTGGAAGTATCAAAGGGGCTGTAAAATCAGATATGACAAGAATGACACTGCAGAGAGCTAAAGTATCAATTTGCATATGCTTTAGTTTATAGTATAGATGGTAAAACTGTAACGTTTGAAGGATCCTAGCAGTTTATAATTCCTTTTTTTGGTTTGTGAAGGATGCACAGGATCTTGGCATTTCTATTGAACTCCTTCCCTTGAATCACCCCAATGAAGCATTTAATGTATCTCAATTCTATGCTGTAAGTCTAGACATCTTTGACATATTTATTATGCTCCCCCTCCCCAAATTTCTTCTCTTAATTGATACTGATCATATAATTTTTTCATGCTTACTTGTCAAACATATGTCTTTTAGGATTTGATTGGGTTAGAAGGAGATTATCTTGTTGACTTTATGCCATCAGCAACAAACAGGTATGCATCCTATTTATGATGTTCTTTGACTTAATTCTCCCATGTTTTTGAAGTGGGGCAACTAGTTGTATCCTTTGTCAGTTTGACTTAATTTTCAGGCACAGAAGTTGTTGATTAGTGGGGATAGTGAGGTTAAACTTGTTCCTGAATTTTGTCTATATAAGTTTTTTGCTTTTCACAAGAATAAGTTTATAAAAGATAGGGAGGTCAGTCAATAATCCAAAGTATTTTTGTGTTGCAACACATCTATGTTGTAGTTGGATAGTTATACTTGTAGTAATTTATGCTAATAGTTATATATCCACAAAGTTTTTTTCTCAGAAACACACGTGGACAATGGGTTTGAACAAACATTTGTCGTCATCCAACCACTTATATGTTATTGCTTGAAGTTAATTTTCTTATTCTACAGCTTTGCCAAGATTAGTGCCACTTGATCCAAAAGTCAGTTTTTCTATTATTATTTTGTGCATTAGGGACTAATTATTTGGGATACTTCTGTATGATTGGCATGCATTGGTAATTTTTTCAATATTTCACTAAGATTATAAAAAAGGTGAAATTCATTAATGTGAACCACACATATCACTGTGGAAACAGGCTCCTCCATTTCTGCCTCTCAATCATTTTAAGGATGAACATGTACTGTTGCTTGAAATCGTCATATTATTATATGAAACAGCTCGTATATTTGTAACATTGTTTTATTTCTATTGCATGGGGATTATGATGTTGAGCAACTATGATTAAGTTAAGAGGTCTAAACCAGGGCTGGTAGTTAATATTGGATTAAAATTATTTTAGCACACTTCAATTTAAGTCTCAGTTCTTTTAATTTGTGTTTCAATTTCAGATTAGAGGATATGAAAGATCAACTAAGAAAACGCATGTTTACCAAGCGCAAAGTGAAAAGTCTTAAATTCACAATAGTTAATGGGATATCTATACAACTGAATTCTTATGCTTTAATTCGTCCCACTGTCCCAGGTAAGTATTTGATGTCATTTTCTAGCTTATAGAAGCTATTATTTTTCAAAACTTATTTTCTTTCTTCTAGTGTTTTGTTCTGCCCTTTGCAAAATTTTCACTTGGTCCCTTTTAAGTTTTTAACAGTCCATGCTTTTTATGTGTAGGAGCGATCACATGGCTTGATTCTATTACTAATTGTCCTTTGAAGGTAATGAATCTTATTACCACAATTTGAAAATAGTCTATTTTCCATCATTCCATGTTACAATTTAAATTTGAGAATTTACAAATCATGTTCTTCTTATATAATTTATGTTACATCGCTATAATAGTGTCCCTAATAGAAACTTGATATGATTCTTGTACCCATTCCTATTTTATATAGTTAGCCAAAAAAGGTAATTTTAAAATCGAATCTACTTTTTAAAATTTATTTGTAGAATATAAACACTGCAGAAAAAAAATATATATGGACTTTTAATATGACTTTCTGATGATTTCAAGAAAGCCAAACTTCTGCAAACAAATTTCTACCCAATATTTTTACTGTTGTTAGTGTCTCTATAATCATGCCTTTTTTTGTTATGCTTTTTATCTGTGGAAAATTGGTTAATTTTTTTTAGTTAGACCTTAGTGTCAAGTGCTCTTGGAATTGCATAAGACAATGATCAACTGATTTGCTGGTGCAGTGTGAAAGAACTTTCATTTGTGCTGATACTGGTGCCTTGATGGAAGAACCTATTACACGGCTTCATCCTTATAAAAAGTATGCATTTTATGCTTCTTTAGTTCTATCTTTATTTAATTTGAATTATTATTTTGCTTGTTTGGACAATTTTCCTCACTTTAGGTTTTTCTATTTTGATTGGATTTGACAAAGAATAGTAACTGTAATATATGATACATTGCTATCATTGCTGAGAATAGGAGTTTCTGGGATCTGGATCTTAACCAGTGCTTTGTTCTGGGAGAAATCTGTCATGAAAAGAAGCGATATGGCTTTGTTTAATTTCTGAAAATTTAAAAGTGAACTGCAAACACATTCGGGTGATAACCCTTGAGCTGTTTCATTTTTGGGATTCAGTGCTTCAGAAGCTATCTATTAACTTTTGATAGTTGGACGGTTTTTTTTTTTTTTCTTTTTCTTCTCTGTGGTTCTAGTTGGAGTGGCTCATAGGATGGAGAAAATTTTTTGAACTTCTCTTAGTTCTGATGCAGTAGGGAAGAGTAGTAATTTAGTGTCTTGCCAGTTGAGATATTTTTACAGGATTAAGGAGGGGAACAGGGTCTCAGAACAGCCACTAGTTGCATTGCGGTTGGGGGATGAACTGATATCTGATTTTTGGAAGATATGTTTGCTCACATTTCCTATATTGAGGAGTTTCTTTGCACACCTGTTATTTTCTTTCTTGATATAACTCAACTTCTTTACCTTCTTAATGGGTTGGTGTACAATTTGCTTTTACTTCTCAATTTTTCTCCTGTCAAGCTAGGAAAATTTGGACTATTTATTCTTTTGGTGTCTTGAGATTCTGTCTAATTTCCAGTTTTCCTTTCTCCCTCTTGTTTGTAATTATAACATTATTGTTATATTTTTCTTTCCAGCCAGAATATTACATTTTCAATGAAGCAGCTATCTGAAATTAAAAGAGTTTCAATTGGTCATCTACATCTTTTAGGGTTCAAGCCACTGAGTTGCTTGCGAGATTATTACAACTTGAAGCCATCAACTTTCCTTTACCCTAGTGATGAGGTTACTGTTCTTGTCTTTCATGAACCGTTGATTGCATCTTCAGTTATGGATAATGTTTGGTTTTAATTACAACTTTCCTGTTTGGTGCTGAATTCTAATCCAGTACTTTTAACATTGTTTAATTTTGGTTGAATTGTGTATTGACAATGTTTAGATTTCACATTGATTAGAGATATAAGGTCAATGTAGTCCTGGACTTTTGTGGACAAATGCAGGTAGTTCAATAGCAACAACCTCTCACGTGTAGGAATAAACATATAAAGTGTGAAAAATGTGGGTGGCCCAATATTGAATCAAGAATGGATTTTAATACCATATTAGAATATAATTATAAAACCTAATTCAACCCCACAAAATTAGCTTGTAAGATGATGACTACTTGAGCTTTATCTCTAGTTATGGGATCTCAACAACACAATGTGATGTTTTTTCCATTGGCCCATAGATGACGTGCATTGGTCATCTTGCCACCTGAAATTTTGTTTTGATGCAAATGGTTTTAAGTTTTAACAACTTTGTTAACAATTGTTAGATTATATATTGTTAATTTATGTATTTTGTATTTTATATTTTTCTTTGTACTCGGCTGTTCCTTTTTTTTATTGTATTCTCTCCCATATATATATATATATATATATATATATATATATACAGATCTGGTGGTGAGAGATACACAATCAGTATATTTCATTTCATTCAAACACATCTCTCTATATTCAAGTTGGTAGCAGAGCAGGTCAGTCTCGCTCTGTTGCCCCTCACTTTCGATAGTTACTATTTGTCATCTCCAGCAATCGGTCATTGCCTCTTTCCGTGGGATGCTGCCATGTAAGTTGCAAGAGACCTAGTGGATCTAGGTCGCCTCTTTGAATGCAACCCAACACTATAAAGATCGGAGTCTTAATCCTTCCGATGCGCCTTCATGTGCCTCTTTTAAGCACTGTCCTATTTGACGCATATTGGGTCTATTTAATGAAAGATTGATATGAACTTTTCCCTATTTTTGGGTCCTTTTTCAATGAAATTAAAAATCAATTTGAAAAAACAATCAAAATTCTCAAGAGTGATAATGCTAAAGAATATTTTTCTTCTAACCTTACCTCTTTTCTAACCTCACATAGTATTTTACATCAATCTACCTCTCCTCATACCCCACATCAAAATGGTATAGCAGAAAGAAAAAATACATTTGTTTGAGACTGTGCGTACTTGTTGTTGAGTGCTAACGCTACTGTCATCATTGGGGGTGATGCAATTCTTACTACCTGATTTCTAATAAATAGAATACCATCCTCCTCTCTTCAAAATAAAATTCCACACTCCATTCTTTTCCCAAATGAATCTTTATTTCATGTTTCTCCTCATACTTTTGGTTGTGTTTGTTTTGTCCATGATTTGTCTTCAGGTTTGGACAAGCTTGCTGCCAAGTTTATTAAAATGTATTTTCCTTGGCTATTCTTAACTTAAGAAAGAGTACCGTTGTTACTCCCCAGATACTAAATGGTATCAAATGTTTGTTATTTGTTAATGTCACCTTCTTTGAAGAAACTCCCTTTTTCTCTTCTTCAGTGCAAGTTATAATCTGTCCAACATGTCTTGCCTATTCCATATTTTTAGCCAGTGTTGTCTCCTTCTCAAGAGTCTCTTACCAAGACATAGATCCAAGTTATCCTCCAACCGCCTGTCCACCTGAGTCATCTTCATCACCTCTCATCACTTACCAACGAAGGTCTCAAAATACGGAGACCCATCTGCTTCATGTCCTTCACCATCAACTTTTCCTACAACGATTTCGATTGATGAAGATTCTAGTTGGCCAATTGCTCTTTGGAAAGGTATTCGATTTACTCGAAATCCCCATCTTGTTTATAATTTTTTGAGTTACCATCGCTTATCTCCTTCATATTGTTCCTTTGTTTCATCCTTGTCTTCTGTTACCATTCATAAAAATATCAATGAAGCACTATCTCATTCTGGATGAAGACCAACCATCATTGCTGAGATGTAGGCTCTTGAAACTAGTGGCACATGGGAACTAGTACCTTTTTAATCTGGGAAGAAGACTGTTGGCTACAGATGGGTCTATGCCATTAAAGTTGGGTCTAATGGTGTACTTGATCATCTTAAGGCTCCATTGGTGGCTAAAGGATATGGGCTTGATTATTGTGATACCTTTCCCTTGTGGCCAAAATCACTATTGTTCAACTGTTTCTTGCTATGGCTGCCATTGGTCTCTCCATCAATTAAATATTAAAAATGCCTTTCTATGTGGTTATTTGGAGGAAGATATCTACATGGAGCAACCTTTTGGATTCGTTGCTAAGAGGAGTGTGAATTAGTTTGTAAATTGCGTTGATTTCTTTATAGGCTCAAACAATCTACCTGGGCTTGGTTTGAAAAATTTCGTCATGTAGTGCAAGAGTTTGGTTTGAAAGGAAGTGAAGTAGACCATTCAGTTTTCTACTGTCATACTTCTCTTGGGAAGTGTATTTATTTGATTATTTATGTTGATGATATAGTAATTATAGGAAATGATGCAATTAAAATTTCTCAGGTAAAAAAAACACTTATTTAGTCATTTTTAGACTAAAGATCTTGGTTGCCTAAAATATTTCCTAGGTATTGAAGTTGCCCAATCGAAGGAGGGCATTGTGATTTCCCAAAGGAAATATGCCCTAGACATCTTGGAGGAAACATGCATGACTAATAGTAGGTCCATTGATAGTCCTATGGATCTTGATCAAAAGTTGATGGCTGATCAAGGTGAATCATTTGCATATCTGAAGAATTATAGGAGATTGGTTTGTAAACTTCTTTATCTTACAATTACAAGATCTGACCTTCTTTGCAGTAGGGATTGTTAGTCAACTCATGCAAGCCCCTCACTTGATCATTGGAATGCTACTATACGTATTCTTAGATACATCAAAAAGGCTCCGAGTCAAGGTTTATTATATGAGGAAAGATGGGACAGCCAAGTTTTTGGGTATTGTGATGTTGATTGGGTAGGTTGTCCTATAGATCAATGTTCTACATCTAGATACTACGATTTTTGTTGGTGGGGATCTCATCTCTTGGAAGAGCAAGAAACAAAAATGTTGTTGCTAGATCTAGTGCTGAAGCAGAATATCAATCTATGGCTTTGGTTACTTGTGAACTTGTATGGATTAAACAACTCCTTTAAGAGTTAAAATTTTGTAAAGTCCAACCAATGAAATTATATTGTGACAATCAGGCTGTCCTTCACATTGCCTCCAATCCAATGTTTCATGAGAGGACTAAGCAAATAAAGGTGGATTGTCATTTTGTTAGAGAGAAGTTGCTGTCCAAGGAAATTATCACCAAATTTGTTAACTCTAGTGATCAAATTGTTGATATCATGACTAAATCCTTGAGGAGACCTCGAATCCAATTTTTGTGTTCCAAGCTTTGTACATACAATTTATATGTTCCAGCTTGAAGGAGAGTGTTAGATTATATATTGTTAATTTATGTATTTTGTATTTTATATTTTCTCTGTACTAGGCTGTTCCTTTTTTATTGTATTCTCTATCATATATATATATATATATATATATACACACACACACACACACATTCAAATCTGGTGGTGAGAGACACAAATAGTATATTTCATTCAAACACTTCTATCTATATTCAAGTACAATAAATTTCCCTATATTTAAAGAATAAAGATATGCACATGTTTTCCTTCATCTCTGTTGGAGATTTCCCATTGCCTTGTCATATGGTCAAACTATTTATATAAGTGGGAAATAACTCTCACTTCATGAATTAGTTTTTGGAGTTAGGTCAAAACCCAAATTCTAAGAATTTTGTCAAATTGGTGCTTCTACTGTCCTATTATCAAATCAAGCAGTATTCTTATCAAGTGGTCTATTGGTATTTTTGGAAATGCTTTGACCTGTATAATAGTTGCACTGGATCTTACATGCTTCTCAATTTTATATGTTTCTCACCTTTTGTATTTAATAATATTTTTTCTGTGATGCCACTTTTTGTTTTGCAGGGTACAGACAACAGCATGTGCATCTTCATTGCCCTTCATAGGAAGATGATTCAACTCAATCGGTATCCTTGATTCCTTGCATTTAAGGCTTTGTATAATTGCACTGTCACATCTTTTATTCATATCTACGTCAACATTTTCTTTGTTTTTGTTGATTATGAAAATTTCATATCTTAAAGAGCATAGTTTTAGAGTGACTTTGTTTCAAGTTATCTTACAATATTTCGGGAATATATGGATAGAATGTGTTTTTCCATGTTTGTTGCAAGATTATAAATTGTATTCCCGGGTAGAACATTCTCAAGAAAAAAATTAACTTCCATATTCCTATGCTTTTATTCCCAAGAAGAAGGTAGGTAAGTTGATTTTCATGATGTGACAATTAAATTTTTTTTATTTTTATCCATTTTAACTTCACACTGTCTTTCATAAAAACATTCCAGCACTAACCAAATATATTTTTTAAGATTTAAATATGTTTTTAATCTGTGTAAAATGAACGAGTTTTGATTTTGGTCCCTATAAATATTTTGTTTTTCATCCTTCTAAAATTTATAAACATTGTTTTTAGTCCTTATAAAATATTTTTGTTCCTAATAAAATGAGTAAATTTTGACTTTGGTTTCTGTAAAATATTTTTCTTTAATTTTTAACCCTCTAAAATCTAAAATCACTCTTTTTGGTCCATAAGGATGATTTTAAGATATATAAATAATATTTATTTTAATGACTTATAAAATATTTGAGAGTTGTCATACATGAATATGATATGATTAACAATTGCAAGTAATATCTAGATAGTCACTTAATATTTTAATGAACAAACAAGTAGTTAAAAATGATTACATAATAATAGGATTAAAAATAGTAGTTCAAATTTTAGGGAGATGAAAATCAAAGAATTTGTTTCTACAAGGGCCAAAATCAAAACTCTTATTTTGTAGAGATTAAAAACATATTTAAGCCTTTTTTAAAAATACTCAGAAATGTCATTATGTTTCTGGAAATATTATTTTAGGGAATAAAAGTTGATAACTTGAAACAAACATCCCTTATTCTTATGAAGTACTTCCCAATTAGATATATGCATTTTCTTTTCCATATAATTTTTTTATCAAATCAGAGTTTGAAGTTGTAGAATGTTGAATCAACTCAAGATCAAGAAACTTTGTTATTTATGGGACAGTTACATGATATAAGTAGGAAAAAGGGAAAAGGGAGATTTGTGGAAGATGCAACTGAAATCAAGGTTAGGTAGTGTCTGTATGCACACAAGCAAATGCACAAGTGACTAAGATATTACAGATTAACTAAGCATCCTCAACTAATATACCAAGTTACTAATAGATGATTGATATTGTAGTTTTGTGATTGTGACATGACTGATGTTAATAATTACTAATCAAAGTGATTCTCTGGTGTGTCTTTCAGTTTTGCTGTTGCATTTGGTGGTAGTTCCTCTCGCCCTCAATTGGTTGCTCTTGTTGCGCAGGTACAATATACTACTTTAATGTTTTATCACTATAATGAATGATTGTTTTCTTGACTTCAAGAGCTTGCATGTGACATTAGTTTGATGACTTTGCTTCTGAAATTCTGAATGCTTTTAGAGTGCTATTTTGCTGTTTTAATTGTCTTGCATTCTCTTGCATACTTCTGATTTTCCTGTCATTGATTTTCTTGCTTGTGCTCAAACTTTCTTGTGAACATCTCGAGTCATCAACTAATTCCTATTACAGAAACATCACTACTTGGCAGTGTCCTTGAGGTAATAGTCAAATCTCAAATGTGTGTTGTTTGTTCATGAAAAGCTTGATTAGAGACAATGTACAAAGCCACCTAGTATCGCAAATGAGACTTATAGGGCAAAAGCAACCAAAGACACAGCACCCAAACCAAGAGAGGTACAACAAATGGATTAGGGCAGCAATCAAACAGTGGAGGACCATGGCAAATGAGATGTCCAGCAGCAGCCAAACTGGGTCAGAATGAGGCTAGAAAACACAGACAAACAGTGATCTGACCAAGGCAAACCAGATGGTGGGGTTGTCTGAACACCTGGGCCAACAAACAGACTTGGACAGTGGCTGCACAGATGGCTAGGGTTTTGTTGAATTTTATTGGGCCCACTTGATGTGGGCTTTGTACCAACTTGAAGCAGAGACAAGAAACGAATATTTGACTGAAAACTTGTTTTGCATATAGTCTCACAAGCCCTATGATATGCATAAAATTTCTGTACTGAGTCCCACAATTGAGGAATGTATATTACAAGATCTACAAGATATTCAGCCTAACTGCCCTAATTATGTACAGCTAATAAAAGGAAATAATTACAATGAAATCAATCAATATTCTAACACAATTTTAACCTATATGCTATTTCTAAAAAATCTCAATAATTTTATTGCAATCTCAACTATACAATCTTATCATAATCTGAACAGTTAATTTAATTTGTTTGTATCAGATTCTTACCTCGTGTATGATTGTCAGGAAGAAGTTATCCAATCAGGTAGTCAGATTGAGCCGCCAGGAATGCACATGATTTATCTTCCATATTCTGATGACATCAGACTTGTTGAAGAGGTAGAGAACTGCAATAATTTAACTTGTGTTTGAACTTTAAATGTTAAAACAGTTAAAACCAAGTTTAAGATTATAAATATGAAATTATTGTTAAGACGTGTATGATTTTTACAGCGTTATTCAGATTCAAGTGGCATGGTGACTAAAGCAAGTGATGATCAAATTAAAAAGGCAGCTGATTTAATTAAGCGTATTGACTTGAAGGGTTTTTCTGTATGCCAACTTACCAACCCTGGTAAACCTTTACTGCTCTTCCTCTCTCTCACTCTTGCTGGATGTTCTATTTATAATTCCTTTAAGTTTCATTTGTTTTATAGTAAATTATCCTTGCAGTGCTGCATTGTGTCATCATTACACAAATCTCCTCAAATACCTACATTTACCTTACCTGACTCAGACTGTTTACTTGGAAGTTGGAACTTCTTCAAGATATTGGATTAAGCATGTGAATGATTTCTATATGCAAACTGGTTGAATATGAACAAAGATAATGGGTTAAAAAAATTTAGGCTACAATTAAATAGCAGTTTTACTTGAGATTTCTCCAAATATACTTTTTAGAATATTCATTTACTTGGAGAAATATTCTATTGAACTTATGTTATTTATATTGAAGAGTTCATTCTTGAAACTGATAAATTACATCAAAAGCTTATTCTCATTTGGTGGGGTTGGATTTTCTTGATCAAATGAAGCCAGTGCTGTGATAAACTTAAAAACCAAATTTTTGAATGAATCCTAAAGTTTTTATTTTTTTTGGTTGTCCTCTTCTTTTAGTCATGCTATTCTCTACATGATCAGCTCTTCTTACTTGGCCTCTATTGGTTTCTCCTTGAAGGACCAAACCATTTAGGCTAAATTCTGTCATCTTTTCCTTAATAGATGCCCCCTTTCATATCCTTTTTAATGCATCCTATCTTCTACCCCAACATTTTCATCTTTTTGCAACAATGATAAATTAATACAGTTTTTGTTTTTTGGTTGAAAGCATGGTCTATAGCATGTTAGAATTCCATTCCATTAACAGTATGTCAGTACCAAGTAATTGGACCTCTATTAAATTAAAAAAAATTAAAATTATTGAAATATAATAACTTTGTTATAACATAATACTGATTCGTGCTCTGTTTACTTTCTTATTTTGACGTGATCCCTTGTCAGTGTAAGATCATTAACTACTGATATGCTTGCTATATACGACTTGTTATAGTTCTTCAGCTTATTATTATTGCCATTTGACAAAACGAAAAAGATATTATGATTCCTGTTGGTAACGAAAAAAGTTCTCAGCCTTGCAGAGACACTATGCAGTATTGCAGGCATTGGCACTGGCAGAGGATGATATTCCAGAAATGAAAGATGAAACATTACCTGATGAGGAAGGCTTGGCCAGGTAAGCTCAAGGTTTTCAATTATATTGAATATTTTGTTGTGTCTGATTTGCAGACTGTAAAATGAAACCGGAAGAAATAAAAGTCTACCTGTTTTATCCTGTTTGGCCTTTCATTTCTTCATTGGAAAATGTTGTTCATGAGTTAAGTATGATTTGATAATCCTTCTTGTCACCTGCAGACCAGGAGTGGTAAGGGCATTAGAAGAATTCAAAACATCCGTATATGGGGATAATTATGATGAGGAAAATGAGCACAACACTGGGGAGCCGACTGAAGCCTCCAAGAAACGAAAAGCAAATGCCGAGTTTGCAACAAAAGAGTGTGAAAACTATGACTGGGGTGAGCTTGCTGATACCGGAAAGGTAAACCCTGAAAATTATTTCATGCAGTGTTTTTTTATGGAATGAATGTAAGCCTCAAGTCAATTTTTCAACTAACATACCTAGTTTACCTAGGCCGTCCAGTGATTTGGTTGTAGGTGTTGAAGTAAAATACAAGCCCGTAGAAAATTACAGGCGAAACTGTACTGGACAAGCCATACAGTTACCTAAACTAGCTGCTCATGTTAAAAGAAGTTAGATACCACATATAGTTTTGTTATCAATCATCCAGCATCTACACAATTTCCTGTTACTCACTATAAAATCATATCATTAATGGAGCAACATAGGAGACATAAGGTCACAGTTCAAATTATGGCTCAAAGTTCCCATACTGTAGAGGCGTAGATAAGATGTTAGCTACCCTTGAAATTTTAGTTTCTGGAATGCTTAAAATTTACTGTTGCCTAGCTAGATTCTCTCTTTTACTGTTGTTAAAATTGCTGATACGGAATCTTTTAATATTGTTTTGCAGTTAAAGGACTTGACTGTGGTGGAGTTAAAATATTATCTTACAGCAAACAATCTTCCTGTTTCTGGGAAGAAGGAGGCTATAATTACCCGAATACTAACTCACATGGGAAAATGAGCAAGGGGACACCGTTTTCTCATTGATCATTTTGCAACCTCGATATATAGAATGCAAGACTCCTAGTACTGATCCTTTTTGGCTAAAAGACTGATTTGTACTTGAACTGATCAGCATGGCATTAGGGTATGTGATAGCATGTTACTGTTAGTAGGCATTGGTACGTGTTAGACCTCCAATACGCAAAATTAACACATCTCAGTTTGCAAGTTGTCGTAAATTTGTTTTTATCTTTTTTACTCACTTTTTAATAGTTCATCAAGTTAAGTCGGTAAATCAGTCCTTTTATGATTCATAATCAAATTAACATCATCTTATATGGGGAAATTACAAATTAAAATTCTCGTTATTACTAGTTATATTCCTTTTTCCCAATTTATAATAGCACTTGTACTCAATTTACTTGAGTTGTTCATAGCAACATGAAATGCTGTTAAGTCTTAAAAAAATTCAATGTAAATGATAAGGCTTGTGTGTCTCAGCTCTAATTTCCAAGCGTTAGTAATAGCAGTTACAGGCAAGAAATTTTGTTTTTGTTGCAAAAGAATTAAAATTGGAAAGTACGTAAGAAGGTGCATTCATGAAGGAATGGAACTCGATCATAAATGAATTTTACCAGCACGGGCCTGATCCTTATGAAGAAGAATATGACACGTTGAAGTTACAATATATTTTAATACTATGACAGGCACAAGCAGAGGCATCGAAAAGAAAACACAATCGTTCATTAAAAAAAAAAAAAAAAAAAAAAAAAAACCC